GGGGGGGGTTGTTTGTTTTCTTTTTGGGCAAAAGAAAACTACTGACACTCTAGTGGTCAACCACAATGCTGAGATGGAAGCAAGACAGCTGACACGAATGATACATTGAAAGTTAAAAAGATTCTACAAATCAGTGGTAGCCTCATATTGTCTTTGTGGTAAGAAGCATATATATTTCTATTACTTTCCTGAAACAATTAATAGGTGTTCTAGTGCTCAGTATGATAAAGGATAAAGGTGTATTGTGTTCAAGAAATTATAATGATGTTTTTGTTTAAATCAAGGGTATGGGCTTTTTAGATGTAGGTTTATGAGTTATTTCAGTTTGTTTTTGGTCCCTTTTAGAGAGTTATGTCCTTTTGAAAAGAAATACTGTATTTCAGTTAAAAGCGTGTATCTTTATTTGATGACCATGGTGCCTGAACTGGCAAACATTTTTTATGGTGGTGCTGGGCCCTGATATACAAAGGTTAACTCACTCAGCCCTGGGGCCAAGGACCCGATCTACTGGCTGTGCCTAGTGGTTTCAGGTGTTTTTGAAAAAATCGGTAAAAATACTAAATCAAATTCAATCGCCATAATATTTCACACACAATTTGTTTAGGTATTACATGGACTATTGCTGTTAACAGAATTTGAAAATATTAGATAGTCTATGAGAACAAGACTCATTCTCATTTCCTACTTCGTTACCATGCAAAGTTATTTTCAATTGTAGGTCAAGAAAGCAACTTTTGCCCTTGTAATAATCCATTTCTCGTGAAGAAATGGCCAGGGGTCACTTATAAAGCATATATGTATGATCTTCTTTGATATGTATTAACGTTATTAACAGTAGAAATTTCCTTCTCGATACTGTCGGGCTCGGTGCAGAAGTGCGCAACCAGACTATCTCGGGCTCAGGGCTGATTGAGTTAATTTTCAAACTTTCAATTCTCAATAGTGGAAGTTAAGTCAGGGTTCAAGTGTGGAAACTTCACTTCATCCATCTCACTCCCATACACAATACTGTCTCCGTCCTTGGCCAAGCCCTCTACCTTTCAACAACACATAATGCACAGTGTCTGTCGCAGTCCCTCATCACAATACATTGTACAGCGCACTGCACCTGTCGGTCAAAAACTTTGAAAGACATAGTTAACAGCTGGAAAATGGCTCAAGATTATTGGTATTCAGTTTAAAAATGTGATGTATTTTAATTGTAAATTAGTACACCTATTTGTAAGGTGAATTTTATTGTGCTTCAAATTGTAAAGTCAAGTCAATAACCACAGCTACAAAGTTTTGATAGAAATAGACTTCTGTTATTAATTATTAGCTTTCTTTATTTTAAAGATTTCTCTATGCCTTGTTTGTATATGTCTCAGTTTATGTGAGTGGGTCTGTGTGTGTTACAAATACACTATGCTGTCAGGTTCCAGCTTTGATTTTGATTAGAACCTAGAGAGAGAAAACATTGCTTCCATTTACAGCAGTGAGAGCTTGTGCCTTTAGCTCCTCTCTGTCCTTTAGAGTGCATGCTGTCTTATTTTTATACAAAATTGTTTATTATGAGATTGTGTATTAAAATGCTCAAAACTATCCCTTGTTCGGACCTTTCTTATCTCAAAGTGTGATTAAGAATTACTTAGTTAGTAGAGAGAATCTTGTTTTGTTCTTATTCTACCTCAACATTGCTGCAGGAATAATGAGATAGGGTAATTGTAAACAATACTAAGCTCAAACACACTGTTGTTCCTTCAGCGGAATTATGTGGGCAATATCATCTGATATGTTGTTATGTAACAGACTGGCTTTCCTGTTACATTTCAGGCATCAGATGTACAGAGACGCATGTGACTGCCTCCACACAGTAGAACCCCATTGTAATGCTCCACCAATATTCATGAATTGCTATGTCTCTTTGAAGCCCTTTTTCTGAATGAGAATTTCATGTAAAGTTCAAAGACATAATTTGAGCTTCGTTTCCTTCCTTAAATTCAACACGCATAAAATTGGGTTAGATCTATTCAATGGGGGACTGTTTGGTTTTGGTTGGTTTTGTTTGTTTGTTGTTGTTGTTTTTTGGGGGTTCTGAGGGTTAACTTGCTTGCAGAAGCCTACTGTATAAGGCTAAAATAGATCTGTTAGTGCCATCAGCTTCCAGCTTTTTTTGTTTTGTTTTGTGAACTCCAATTTTCTTAACCCTCATGCAGTCCTTTACACCCCATCTTTGCTGCTCTTATTTTGTATAGACTCTCAACCTTTTTTTGTAGGTGCTGGGCTGATGCTCTTGTTTGATTTGTTCCTTTTTCCCTGTAAGATAGGCTATCTATTATTCTTATAAACCTCTTCTTCTTTTCTTTGTATGTTTTGTTACTCTCTAGTATCATTTCTAATCCTCGACACATAAACGTCTTGTTTTTGTTGCAAGTACGGTACCGTAAAATTTTTAACTAAAACTGAAGTAAACCAACCTTTATGTTATATGAGGTTCAATGGCTGTCATTTGACTAAGTATGATGTAGATTTTTTTGTGGATATAAATGTTCTGCTGTATACCTCAGGTCCATGCAGTTCTTCACAAACAGTCTGAGTAGCAAACTTTTTTTTTCTCATAATTTCATAATTTATTAAAGTTAGAGCCTCCAGCTCAGACCCAGTTACTTTTTGGAGTGGCCCAACAAATGGAGGTTTGGGAATCAAATTTGAGTTGGGATCCAAACTTTTCTTGTCTTTCTGAGAGTATTTCCTCTCAGTTTTCAGCCAAATGTCCTGACATTGAAACCCTCAGAAATAATCCAAAAAGGGTTTTCCAAGTTACAGTTACAGAGTACTACAATTTGCCCTTTTATCTTTTATCATTTAAACTGAAGCTGTACCATGCCATTCATGGTCCCACTTTTGGGTCATTTAAGTTACAGTGAGTAGATTAAGAAGATAACACCGCATAAGATGATGCACAATGAATAATGCATACACCTTACTCTTCATCAACCAACCACAACATCATACTTAACTTCCTTCACAGTTGGGAGAGAGACATTATATCGGCATAACTTTCTTGGGCCATCAGTCTTGTTTGACAAGACCGACCTGCTACTGCTCATATTCAGTATAGACTATAGACAAGTCATTCTAATCAAATCTAAGTGGTTGCACTGTGCACTTGCAGCAGAACAACTCTTCTCTTGTGGTGGAACAGCTCTGTGCTATGATTTGTTCAGTAGTATTAACATTGGTCTATTATCTCTTGTTTTCTTTATTATCCTCTTTTCCTTCTCTACTTTTCCCTGTGGGCTAAGTGCCCTGTCTTCAGAAGGATTAGTGTCTAGAAGGGCATTAAATCATACTCAGTGGGTGGTTGGCAGGTGCTCTGGTGTGGTTTGCTTCTTCTTTCCTATCAAACATCTATAATCTTTATCTCCCCTCCTTCTTTTTTGTGTTTGTTACTGTCTTGTAACACCTCTGATCTTTGGCACTTATATGACCTTATTGCTTTACAAGAGCTGTAAAGCACTTACTAAAACAAACAAATTTTAATCATACTCAACAAAACAAAACAGTTCCTCAGTCAGGCTTCAATAGGCTTCCATTGTCTCCAAACACTCTCAGGGAAAACTGTCTACTGTGAAAATAATGGTTCCTGTTTAAGTGATTTAACAAACGTGGAAAGTTTTTGTCTTGTTTGCTTCGACTAGATAACAAAAAGCACTGAAATGAGTTACTTCATTTTGGTTTACCTGTATTCTCACTATGTAACAGAAAGACAAGACAAGATAATGTTAATGGCATATGACCAGTCCAAAAAAGAAAGTTTTTAGACCAAATTCTTTTCTTCAGTTTTCATGGGTTCATTTGCTTTTGGCTTTATTAACTTGACAATCATTGAATTTTTTCACACGTGCTACTTAATCACAAGGAAAAGAGGTCAATTTTTTATCTGCTGAATTCCACAATGATTTAAATATGCTTGGTACTGGTAGTAAGAAATCCAAGTTTTTCTCTATAGCGGACTGTGACCCTCTGCTTGCCCTTCTGGTTCAAGGACATAAAATAAGCCTTGTAGCCTTTAGTAAAACTTCAACTACAAAGCATTCAAGTGTATTCATCTTCAGCTATACTAAGACTAAGATCTATCACTTTTGAGACTGCACAACATTTAAAAAACTGACTCTCAAATAAAAAAAAGATGTTTTATTTTTGCTATACTGATTTCTCAGATCTGGGAAATGATTGCCAACAGCTATAATAAAACAGAAATAAAAATCCAACACAATTGTCACATTATTTTTATGACACAACACCAGAAAAGAGAGAAAATAGTTATATATATACACAAGAAATTGCAAAATGGGATATAAAAGGAGACAGTAAAGTCATTATTTTAGATAAAGATTGCAACAACGCATCCAAGATAGTTTAAGTTTTTGTTAAAAATGGCACAAACTCTAAAGCTATGCACATAATAATAATACTGATGAAAGGCAATTATGTTTGGACTGTATTTCATTACTCCTTTAGATTAATAAACCCTTGCTGACTGATAGGTAGAGGTTTTTCTTCTTTTCCATTCTTCGCTTGCTACATAGAAATAATGTACATTCACCAATTCGAAAACTAAAGGCGCATAGAACGAAAAAGGAAAAAGCTACAAAACACATATCATCAAGATGGAAGTTTAGTTTTGGCCACATACATCTCAGCTATGACAATACCATTAAGCTTTACAATGTTCACCGTAATTCATAGCAAGGTTACTCTAATCAATGATCAAGGTTCCAGTACAGTATGTAAAAAAAACCAAAACATGGTATGAAGTAGATGTACATCTCTAATGTTGAAAATATGAGCACGAATTTCTAACGTGTTCAAGCTTAAAAGTCCTTTTCTTTAATATAAAAAGGCAAAGATTTTTAAAAACTTTTTATTGTTTTTTGCGTAAAATTCATTAACCTAAATTATGTCAAGCTTTGTAGTCTTTATAATGCTCGCCTTCAAACACAGAGGCAATACACTCTATATTACTGTTTTCTTTGCCAACAAATTGAAATGTTTGTACAACAGATTAACAGAATAAACATCAACCATGGCCATTTGATTATTCACCTTACTTTCTTTTCAATTAAATGATATGATGGGTTTTCATTCAGATGGCGAAATTTGTCATAATCCTCTTCATTATAAAACTTATATGCTTGGTACTGAGATCCTGGATTTTCGTGGACCCACTTGTCACTTGGGGGCACAAAATTGCCAGGCCCATCCCAGCGTCTTGTCCAAGCTTCTGTGTGAAATGGAACTAGCTGTGGATATGGAACTCCAGTGTAGTTCATAGGGTATCCTGCCATTGAGATTCCTGGGGGAAAAAAAGAAACAAGTTTTCACATTAGTTCATTACATGTACTTTCCAAAAAAATGTCCATGCAATATCTGTCTTCATGGATACATAACAATTTTTCATGACGAACAACTGGAACGACCAGGGCACTCCGTTCGCTCATTTGGTATCACTATCATGCTGAACTACAAGAATAGCCCTGATTCGCATCCAAGACTGGGTGTTCTTTAACTCAGGTTGTTTTGTGAAGTTCTCAAGGCTCTCAACCTATTTGGCTTTGTCCTATCGGAGTCGGACGTTAAGTTCAGAGGTTCCCCCTCTATAAGCTAATAATACTAATAGTGTTGATACCGGCGATTAACCCATACACTTACTTTACTAAACAGTAATCAAGAAATTTTCCTGTAACATCTAAGTCTTCGTGAAACCAACAATTTTTCATCATAAAAAACTGTATAACCAATTTTGCACTCAAAAAAATAAATCCGTTTACAATACTAGAAAATAAAGTTTTTGAACTCCCAGTGCACTTTCTAGGGAAAAAACACATAATGTATTATCTTCACAGACATTGTTCTTGATCGTTTTGGCAAAAATGTACACCTCTTATTCTTTACATTTATAAAAATCAAATGCAACATGGTTCTGTTGAGTTCAACTCAAATGTATACTTGAGTTGAAGTGCATTTTACCTCTCAGCTGCAAGTATGCAAGGGCTGAATTTATTTTTTATGTGTATATTGTCAGATTAGTAAGATGTTTCCCAGCAAAGTTTTGACATGGGTGATATTATATTGCACATAAAAATACATGTTGTAGAGCTTATCCATGCACTGTAGGACTAAACAGTGCCACGATGAAACAGTGAGGGGAGCTCAAAGTGCAGGTGTGTGTAATGTCACGACTTAATAACCGCATCCCCTCTCACCTCAAGAGCGAAGGGCATGGCACACAACAAGAAAATGAGTACGCTACTGGTACATCTAATTTTAGTCTATGTAACAGTACCACTGGAATTTATCTGGATAATTTCTCTTTCATGCGATGCTGTGAATTTGATTTGATAGGTCTGCTACATGCGTGGCATCAGCATTCAATCTTCTGAAACGAATTAAATGTGGTTTTACACTAATAGATCTTGCATCATTCACTCCATCCTACTGTAGTGTTATTCAAACTGCATTGAAAGTCAGTTTTGACGTGAGTTTCTCCACTGCTCTTTAGAAAGATGATTGGAAGAAATTTTACTGTTTTTTTAGTCTACAGCATCTGCATCGGGTAGTCTCATCTTCTTTCGATCCAGAGCAAACTTTCCATTGGAGTATGCTGCCACTATCTTCTCTCTATCCTTGATAATGGTGGGAATCGACCCTTGTGGAATGTTGAACTGACGACAAATCTCTGCCTGTGGAGCTTGCTTTTTGTCAACAGCCTGGATTATTTCGTATTGTTTTGTCAATTGAAAGGCATTTTCTCTTGCGCTTGAATTCGTTGGTGACAGTAGACACGTGTGCGTGTTGCTAGGTTTCGGGCTAGATCGAGGTCTGCAGCACACTGCAGCCCTCTCTCGCTTCACACGCTGCGTGTGCTTGCAGTGGCATTACTTGCATGGGCTTGCTCCATCACTGCGTTACTCTCTCTCGCTCTCTCTCTCCTCCCTCTCTCTCTCTCTCTCTCTCTCTTACTTTTTACACTTTGTTAACAAGCCTTTGTCCCTGCTATAACCGGTTGGGCTCCGATGGGGCCCTGTTATTGCCGATAACTTTTAATAGAGACAAAGAGTAGGAAAAATCGGGGATTTAAAAAATCCCTGTTATTACCGGGCCTGTTATATACGGTTTCCACTGTACTGAAAATTGTAAGGTAAGTACAAGTACCGGAGTATTTGTACTCCATTATAACCAGCTCTGTGTATAATTACCGGATGGATTTGGTCTGCTGTCTCTTTTCCTCTGAAAGTCTCTGTATTTATCCTCACTATCCATGTGGATGGCATCACGTCGTGTAAGTGGGGGGAGAGATCGATGGTCCTTGTAATCCATCCATGCTCTCTCCGATGGAACATAGTAAGCAGGACCTCTATAGCAGAAGGACAGACCATCGCCGCTGAGATAGGAATTCACAGGCATCGGATTCCAGTAGCCTCTATCAAACAGCCTTTGTCCTTTACTGGTGGCATATTTGCAAAAAGCCGGGCCTTTGCTTGTACTGAGGTAGCGGTCTGACATTGTGCTTCAGGACTCCCAAAGCTGGATTGATCTTATTTCAGCCTGTAGAACAAAAATAAAATAGTTATATTCTAATTGCTGCTTTACCACAAGTTCTCTAACAAGCGGTAGTTACAACCAAGGGGGCTTCATGTGCTATCGGGAAGGGCATAAGATTTTCTGCAGTAAGACTATAATAAGCAAAAAGGCTGAACTGAAGTTACCATGCACATTATATGAGAACTGAGAGATGTTAGTTAATGTACTCCGGAGTCTTAAGTGGCACTCAAGTCTTTTGATTTCTTTAAGTTCTTTTTTTTTTCATACCACTTCAAGAATTTGTGGAATTATTCGGAACAATGATAGAAATGGAATTAAGTTTTTGTTTTTATGTTATTTGAGAGAAAGAGTTTGTTTTAAAGCCAAGTTTACTTTACTTGAACTCTGAATAGAACTCTGCTGTGCTTCTACAAAGCTTGCAAAAGCGGTTTTTTTAAAAAAGCACATATTTTAAAACATTTTTTATGGTGTGCACTGATTTTTATGAAAGTATTGTTGAAGTCATCTACAGATGAGTTGATGTCATCAGGGGGGTGAAAAAGAGATGAACTCGTTCGAAGTTCAACTAAACCGTTGGAACTTGTAAAGAAGAAAAGGTGCTGGGACCCGAGAAAAAGATCTAGTGAACCGAAGATCAACTCAGACTAGTTTTCTCTTGGAAGTATCCAGACTATGTTATTCCTATGTGTGTGGGGGGGGGGGGGGGGGGGGGAAAGGGGGAAAGATTTACAAAATCACTTAGCAATCATATCTTAAGATCTTTACTTAATTTTGTCTGATTTTCATTGCTCTTTTTGTCTATGTTGCTGCTTCTTAACAAATTTCTTACCACATATGGGGATTCCCCATTCTCACAATTCATCCCCAGCTGCCCACATTCAAGGATTCCCCATTTTTTAAAAACAACTAAAAAACAGCAATAACATTTTATCACATTGATTTCCCTTACAGAAATAATGTTGGAAGAACGTATTGTAGTCTAGATCTAATACTAATATACACTTAAGTCAAACCCTTTTATGCTCGTTTGAGTGTCGGTCAGCAGGCTTTAATAATTTCAACAAGGACAAATTCATCCTAAGTAGCTAATGTGTTTAATAGAGCTGAACAATAATTTCCAGAAATTTTTCTTGAAAATCATCAGAATCATTGCTACTTTCTATAGCTCTAAAGTAGCAATGATTCTGGTGATTTTCAATAAAAAATTTCGGCTAAAGTAGCGATGATTCAAGTTATTTTCAAGAAATATTTCGGGAAATTTTTGTTCAGCAGAAAATGAGAGCCTAGGGATGAATTTAAGGCATATATATAATGATAATGTACAAAAGGTAGATCTAGACTTGTGATAGGGCCAAGATAGGGTAAAAGAAGGTGAGGTCATGTTGTCAGGAATGTTGACATACATTGAAAAGGGTTAAGATTGGAGAAGAAGAAACTATAAAGCTGTAGACGGAGGAGTTAACCTGCGGTTTTATTTTAGGCTACTCATAAATGCCACTTTTCACTAAACATTAACTCAGTTTACAAATTTTTGCAGTAAAGTTCCAAAATTTAGTTGGATGGGGGAATTTGCTTACAAATTTGCTTGGTAGGCTAGGAGAAAAAAGGTTGATAAAAGTGAAGAAAAAAAAGATAATTATTGGGCCTAGGCCTATACTATATATATATTAAAGATAATTATTGGGCCTAGGCCTATACTATATATATATATAAATATATATATATATATATATATATATATATATATATATATATATATATATATATATATATATATATATATAATATATATGGTCCTGACTGAAATTGTTAAATGCCCCCTTTTTCCTCCACAAGGGCTGAAAATTGTCCGTGCTTGGATAGCCAATCACAGGATGGTCATAATAACCTTTAATTATCAGTGTTATTAACTCAGCATGTTAACTGATTCCGTCCATTCGGCCGCTGACAGCGGCTCTGAGTTTTTCCGCTGCCTCCATTCAACCGCTTTCAGCGGCTCAACGAAATCCGAGCAGAATCCAAAAAAAAGTGCACTTTTAAACCTTGTTCCTACTCTTTAAGTTGTCGAAAGGAAGTAGAACTTGTAAACAAACAAGCCTGAACTCAATCTCTGAGCACAAGTATCGATCGAAACTCAAATTCTTGAAAAATTGTTGTTCTTTTGTCGCTATGTAGGCTAGATCTAAGGGTAAACAACAGTACGAAGCCTGGTATAATAAAAAAGGCCCTTCAAATAAAGATATTCAGCTAAATTTGTGAAATTCTTGCATAAATGTGTGCTTGGGAGATATCGCTACAATTTTGTGTTGATTTCTATGGATTACAAGAACTTGTAGAGCTGAGAAAATGGGGTATAAAGTCGAAATTTTCGAAGAGGTGTTGCACAATTTTTTTTTCTCATTCGTTTTTGTCTGACGGAAAATACAATAGAAACAGATTATTATTAGGTCATTATTGTTATTGGTATAAATTAATAGATTCAATTCCTCTGTTGATTCTCATCAGTTTTTTTTGTATGACAGTACATTATTAGACTAACTTAGAGCTTCACAGTAATGCATTAAATAGATGCATCCAGGTCTAAAACTGACCAGGGAAAAATAATTCTGCCCAGAGCCTGAAAAAATCATGGATGGTATCAGTTATTGTGGGTTTCCTTGTCAGAATAATGGCTCGTTTCCAATCAACAGGTTTGAAAATTCTTGAGGATCTTTCTAAGCAGTGCATAGGCACGTTGTACAGATTTTGAACAAATTCGGGTCAAAATTGGAATTTATCAACCTTCTCTACGGCTACGGTCTAAGTGTTGTTGTTACACAGCAAAAAAATAGGGGCTTCACTGACTGATGACGTTACACTCATCAATTATTATTATGTTTTGCGTTCCTGTAGCAGATTGCAAGACAAATTTGTTACTAAAGAAATATTATTCCTCTTTTCTTTATTATTAATACTAGATCTAAAGTTATCACGACACAATCAATGTTTGATTACAGTCCCATATATAAATATAAAGGAAATACAAACCCTGGCTTGTCGTTTTACTTCCCCTCTCCTAAGACTGCACAATCCACAAGCGCTTTTCGTGTTGCTAAGCTACTGACTTTCCTGTTTTCCTCAAACGGAAGATCATGTTTTTAAGTTGTTTTCGAACTAATTTTGCAGAGTTTACATTCAGTTGCCATCTTTTCTCAAACTCGGGGTCTAAAAGATAAAAGTTTAAAATGTCGTCCCATGAGATGTTTTATCTTTCTATAGTTTAAATTTAAAGGCAAAATAAATAAGGTTGGTTAGACCTTCACCGCTTGTATAACATTGTGAAATCAATTCAACATATCCGCAAGATCAACTTGAAGCAACGAACAATAATCTCTCTTGTTTTCCCTTCCACTCAAAACTTCGACACTGCTAACTTTCAGTTTGTTTTGAAAACCAATAGAGTGAAAATGTCAAATTCCAAAGGAGAAAAGATTGATGCGCCAGTAATACCACTGACGCGGCCTAACTATGAGGAACTGGCTTACCTTCCACCCCCAACACCGTTTTACGAGCAAGAAGGGTTACGGGAGAAATTTATGAGGAAAACCAAAGAAAATCCGTTTGTACCGCTTGGTATGTCACCTTCTTCACCACTGTAGTACTGTAGTGTTGTGTATATACTTTAACCACGCGATCCTATGTTTAAATTTCTCATAGATTTATAGATCAACAAATTCTGCTTGTTTCAGGTCCTGAAGTTAGTGTGTGAGATTTTTTTTTCTCTCATTACTAAATCTTGATTTAGATTACTCATGGCCATGGGCAGGAATAAAAATTGCACTGATTTTGGGTTGATTGACCTTAGAGGAATGCAATTTTGACCTTTGACTTTTGTTTTTGAATTAAACAGAATTTTAAAAAAAATTTAAATAGTGGAAAGGTATTTCAAGAGGTAAACCATGAGCTGTTCCTCCCAACCTAACACTTGCATCTGGTGGATAGGGGCCATTCAATTATATAATCTTACGCCTGGGGGGGGGGGGGGGGGGGGGGGGTTGAACTAATATAATATATTATGACACTTTGTGAAGAGAAAAAATATTTTTGACATAATGATGAACACTGCCTTTGTTGATGATAGCTAATTTCACTTTTTGTTTTCAGCATTATGATCAGTGATAACAGTGGAGTCCTGAAAAAGTCAACACCTCACTGTGGTGGTCCCGTTTTTTACAAGTCCAAGTCATTTTCTTGTAGATCTAATTGTGTTTCTGATACAGTCAGCCGCTTGAGTGTTAAGCTTTCGTAAAGTCAACAATTTGGGGCTAAATCCCAAGATGAATTCATTTAAGAAGAGATATTAACGGCCTGAGCTCGTGGTGTAAACACCTCCATGTTCTTTCATTATCTCTTGTTTTGGTGACAACTTCAGAAATACTCCCTGAAATTGAGATTACATCCTGTTCGTTACCAGGTACTTTGTAATTTAGTAGCTGTCATCTTCAATTTTCAATGGCCAATAGCTCCAAAGTCAACACTTCTTTTCTGTCCGGGGTGTTGACTTTATCAGAATTCCACTGAAACTTGTTTTATTTGTAACGAAGTGGCTAGCCGTACTTTAAGTACGGCTAGACTGCCAGTCTAGCCGTACTTTGATCTAGGTTTGGCCCTATCGACTCTAGCCTGTTAAGTACACAGGTCTCATTAGATCTAGATCTAGTAATTATTCAGGTTCAAATACATGCAAGTCAGTAAGGTACCTTTTGGTTTTGTCTGAAATACAAATACTTGAGGCATTGCAAACTAAAAATTTCATTTACAATTCAGTCATCAATATTAAGTACGGCTAGCCTGACAGTCTAGCCGTCCTTAAGTACGGCTAGCCTGGCTGTCTACCCGTACTTAAGTACTGCCAATCTAGCCGTACTTATCTAAGGCCCTATTAACATAAGAAAACAGGAGGTTTAAAATACATGCACTGTCATTAAGGCACCTGGTTTCGTCTCAAATACAAATACTTTAGGTGCTGCACACTAAAATTCAGTAGACCTATTTTTTTTTTATGGTCAGTCTAGCCATCATATTTAGAATAAGTACGGCTAGACTACCAGTCTAGCCGTACTAATATAACTTAAGTATGGCTAGACTGCCAGTCTAGCCGTCATTAAGTACGGCTAGCCTAGAGCTCTTCCTATTTGCAATTAAGGCACTTTTGTCATTGACATGAGTCTCAATTTTTTCCTTATTAGTAAGAAAGAGTGTATTAGTGTATGCAATATTTTGCTTGAATGATTTACTCTATTGTGAGGAAGCGTGATGAAGCGCCGATGTGCGCCGTCATCACTAACCCCCGTAGTCGCTGATGTGCGCCAACAGGCCCACTCGATTCACCCGTTTGCACTACTTTCGTTTCTACTTTGTCTCGCTTCCTGCGAGGTCGCACTAGATTGCCGAGCTTATATCGAGAATGTGGAGTGGTTGCCCTTTACTGTCGTGTTTATTTGGTTAAAATCGATCGAAGCACGCGGCGATTTTTTAAATATCGAGCTTCTTAGAGACCTAAATCTACCTTCGTGGATGAAATTTTGCGTCGCTACAGTCACTGTATACGATGGAGAGACTTATAATTGGGATTTAGTGCCGGTATCGTCGACCAGGGGCTAGATCTAGTGCTAGTAGTACAAGTAGTCACTTGGACACTCAGTCATGAGAGAGAGCAAGAACTATAGTAGGAGAGCGAACACGATGTCACAGATCTAGATCTAGGCTCTAGGGGAGGGGAACCACTATGAGAGTGATGTTGATGGTGAGATCGTTGCTGGAGGTGATGATTTAGAAGACTCTGATGAAGAAGATAGGCCTAGCACCGGAGACAAAAAAGTAGAGACGCGTCACTCCTCGATTTAGGCGAGATTGGGGTCAGGCATCCGGTGAAAGTTTCACGCCTCACAACCGAGGAATCGCCTTATTGTTTTCATTGTAAATTAAGCAAGGGGGTTTGTCTGAATGGGTTTTAAACACTATTTCTCTTTCTTTACCGTCACGTCATACCCTCATCCACACATGAAAGATTGAGTCAGAACATTCTAGTAATTCTAGTCAATATTTTGATTAAAATTTCAAAACAACATACCTTACTGCATGTTTCCTCTCGGTCGGTACAATTATTGACCTGTCCTTATTCCTGGCCCGCATCTCACTGCATTAGTGCGCACAATACGATAAATCTTTTCTATTCTTCTACTTCTGCTCCTTTTTCTTTGTCATTTTCTTCTTGTTCTTGTTCTTCTTCTTGTTCTTGTTTTTCTTCTAGTTCTTCTTCTTCTCCTCCTCCTCCTCCTCCTCCTCCTCCCCCCTCCTCCTCCTCCTCCTCCTCCTCCTCCTCCCCCCTCCTGCTCCTCCTCCTCCTCCTCCGCCGCCGCCCCCCCCCTCTCCTCCTCCTCCTCCTCCTCTTCTTCTTCTTTTTCTTCTTCTTCTTCTTCTTCTTCTTCTTCTTCTTCTTCTTCTTCTTCTTCTTCTTCTCCTCCTCCTCCGCTGCTCCTCCTCCTCCTCCTTTTTCTTCTTCTTCTTCTTTTCCTCCTCCTCCTCCTCCTCTTCTTCTTCTTCTTTTTCTTCTTCTTCTTTTTCTTCTTTTTACTCTTCTTCTTCCCCTTTCTTCTTTTTCTTCTTCTTCTTCTTCTTCTTCTTCTTCTTCTTCTTCATCTTCTTCTTCTTCTTCTTCTTCTTCTTCTTCTTCTTCTTCTTCTTCTTCTTCTTCTTCTTCTTCTTCTTCTTCGTGGGTGGTTGGCGTGTGCTCTGGTGTGGTTTACTCATTCTTTCCTATCCAAGCACCTATGGTCCTTATCTCTCCTCCTCCTGTTTTATGTATGTAACTCTCTTGTAACGCATCTATTCTTCGACACTTATATGACCTTATTGTTGCAATGCAGCATCAGCAAGTGCCGTAAAACTCTTACTAAAACTATTTTTTTTTAAACTCTGCTTCCTCTTCCTTCACTGCAGCATAAATTTGTTGAATTGATTAATTATGCGCACATTTATTGACCAACTTCACCATACACTACTTCTTCCGACGTATTGACTGAGATGACTCATCGTTCCTTCTGTCCCTATAGGAAATAACAAGGGGAAGTGACTTTGAGAGGAACAGACAATGAAATGTACGGCGTGACATAGTTTTGAGGCGCTACGTCAACGATCTCGCGTAAATAACATGATGCGAAGAGGGGCCAGCTGACGAGTGAAATATCTCTCACTAGTCATCTCCGCTAGCACCCACAGCACTTTAGCTAGATCTAGTACTACTAGCTCTACTACTACGTAAAAGAAGGGAGGAGCAACACTGGAAGTACTGTGGGCGCTGTCACAACAAATCCTTTTGAGCACGTTGTGATCTGGATACATGGTAAAAAGGGGTCGTGCCACTACTGTGTAAAGACCAGAAACTTTACAAAGCTTGGCAGAGGGAGTGAGACAGTGACAGGATGCAATTTGGGCCAGGTTAGGCTTTGCAAAAAGACTGCTGGGTAAAACATCTTGAACTTCTGCGGGCATAAAGAGCGGGTTGTGTCTTTTGGGGGGGGGTTTTATGACTTCAGAATTTTTTTTTACCTAATACGCAATGATTTTTCATACAAAACCCTGCATTTTCTTTTAGTTTATTCTTTTCTGTGCTCTGACACCTAAACTGTAATCTTAGACTCATCCTATGATTGTTAATGATTTTTTAAAATAATATAGTCATGCAGTGTAAGTGGAGTTAGGTCCCTTTTGCCCGAATTTCAGCCTTCTTGGGCAGGGATAGCCTTGGGCAGGGATAGCTCTGAGGGTGTAAGGGTTAAGATCCAATAACTCCGTATGCTCAAAATTGACGAGCACCTGATCCCACCATGTTGTGACACCTATTATTTTTAGTGGATATATATTATTATATAGATATGACATGCATGCATGTGTGTATGCATGTTTTTCATGAATATTATGCCATGCGCATAGAACAATGATTGTCTCACGAATTTGTGCGATATAAATTTCATATTATTTTTATCATTATAAGTGAACAATGTAATATTGGGGGAGGGGGGGGGGGGGCAAATGTATTTTAGGATTGTTTTTTATGGGGGGGGGGGGGGGCAAAAAGTCCCAAAAGGTGTAAGATTATATATTTGAACAGCCCCCACAGCCCACTGTATTGTAGGCACAAGTCCCGCCATGCTCTGCCGAGGTGTCAGGCTAATCGGTAAATTTTTACTTTTGCGCCTACGCACAGATGCACTGATTTGAGGGCTAAATTGCCATAATTTTTGCTGAAGAACACACGTATGGCCTCTAAAACGCTTTCAAATCAATTGTTTTCAAGTAAATGATATCAATCCTAATTGCCAAAACATCAAATCATGGTGAAATGCAGGGGGGCATGCCCCCCTGAAACCCCTTATGTTTTTAAAAACAAGTCAAATTACTACACCATTGGTCCTACAGTAATATAGGTCTGTTTTCAAACATCAATAACTCTAAGTAAATAACTATTGATTTGCGGCAAAAGTGAAGGCCATATACTCCTGTTCAGCATACAAAATATTACAAGAAAAAAAGTATACATGTGTAAATGAGATGGGTTCATGAGTAAAAAA